TTTTATTTAGTAAAGATTTTACGTACTTTTTTTTACTTATCGGATGTTATGAGATTTTTTTTGTTAAACCGATTTGATGGGATATAATACAAATACAATTAGAGGATTGAACAAAATCAGAACAGATTTCTATACAATTAGATAATAAGAATGAATTAGATAAAGAAAAGAAAAATTAGATAAAGAATTTTGAATCTACCTTTTTTTTAGTATAGATAGACTTTACGTACAAATTTCGACTTCACCGATTTTATGAGATTTGTTTTAACAAAATCAAAGACGAACACTGAAAAATGTTTCTATTAGCATTTACACTGTGTATTTAATGTTTTTATTTTGGCAAATTATTCTTTTTAAGTGTGATATATAAATATTAAAAATACTTAAAATATTTTATAACATCTATAAAAGCATCTAAAATATTTTATATTATTCACAAATAATGTTTGAAGTTACCTAAATTTTTCTAAACTACCCGTAAGGAAAATATGTCTAAAAAGTTTTCATTTGACCTTCATATATGTATATATATAGAGAGAACATATGTGTAAAAAAATTTATACAAATAATATTTAAAAGTATCTAAAATATGAGTAATTAGACAGGTGAAATTTAGATTTTTAAAAAAATCTATATAGATAATGGATTTATAGTAGTAATTAGACTTTTGTTTATTTACCTTTAAAGTTGTTACGATAGATGAGAGATGTGATTTTTTTGACTCGTGGAGATGGAATTTAATAAGATGGGTTATGAAATTTTCTTAAACTCGTCCATATCTATGCGATGAGTTTTTTAAGCTGGTTATATAGATTTAAAATTGTAAAAAAAAAAAAAAAAACTTTCATAAATCATTTGATTTGGTATTTTCGGCGAGCTTCATTAATTTAAAAGTGTAAAATAAATAAATAAAAAGGTACAATTAAAAAAGTTACGGCCAGTTGTATGGAAAATTAAACTAAATCCAATTTTGTAGGATACATTAAATATTGATTAGATTTTATATGTAAAATAAAATAAAAAATAACTAAAATAGTTTTACGTGTTGCAATATTTTATATTTAAAAAAAATTAAAAAGAAGGAAAATTATGAATACTACATCTAAATTGATAAACTTGCAACTTATCTTTGAAACTTGAAAATTATGAATACTACATCTAAATTGATTTCTTGAATACATTATCCTGGTCATCAAGTGTAAGTTTATAATGACCATTCAATTGTATCGAGAAGATTATTACTTATCTTAACTTTCAATTAATTTCTATATTTTTTTGTCGCACACACTAATTTACTAATATTAGATATTTATAGCACATAAAATTTTTAATTTATTATTGGCTAAATTGGGGACGGATGTGCGTGCATACCCATAACTCCACTAGTTGACATTAAATCTAAATATGAACAAAAATAATTAAAAACGAAATAATAATATGCTTTTTATATTTTAATAATCTCTATTATGTCCATAGATTCATGTGCAAAATACTACTTTTGTTTTCTTTCATTTTATAACATGTGTTTTTTTTTTTTTTTTTTTTTTTTTTTTTTTT